CAATAAAGCATTTTTTCGTCTATTTGATCTTGATAACACGTAATATAAGTTTGGTCAGAAATTTTTTGAACATCCTGTATATCAGTTCCCAATCATAAATACGGGAAGCAAAATTGAAAACGTTTAAATAAGATTTCTCGTAACGACCCAGACGGCCTTTAAAATTATTTTCTGGCCGAAATGAAAAGTGGAAATTCTTAGGAGATGCAATTAACAAAGGAGTCGATTTTTCCGTCGGGTTTCAAGAATCCTTGACGTTCGTCGTCCAGCAGGTAGAACGGGGAATACGTTGGGCCCTGTTTCGTCGTAGTTTGTGTGAGCATGTACGTGCGTGTGCCGTTCAAGGCACGCACCTGAGCGTGAAGCGAGGGATCAACGTTAATGCACCGACGTGGCTTCCACCTGCGCTAGACGAGTCGAAATATGGTTTTCCTTTGCCTAGAAATTCGTGCGCCGTACTTTTTCAGTTTCACGCTCGGTGGCGCGATTTCTCGGCGTAGATTTTCGCCCAAGAATCCCCGACCGCGTAATATCATCAGGGATAAAACCGCCGCGCGAAGAAAAGTGCTTCTAACGGGTCTCGTTAATCTCGAGAATCACTTAGGTTAATTAGCAATAATCGAGAGCGAGGAGTTTCGAAACTGATTCTATCCCCGGCATCTGGACGCGGCTGACGCTCGCCGGACGCTTACCTCTTGGGATGCTTTCACGAATGAAATTACGCGCACAGGTGACGATACGAATGGAAAGTAACACGAGATGCTCGCGAATATTTACTACAAAGGTGAATTTTCAACTGGCAACATTACAGCCCTTACTACGCTTCCCGTATATTTCTATAATTTAGTAAACCGGGCAAGTTGTATTTTATTGCAGCTACTTTTTGCACCTTGGTCCTTTTATTAACCAAAAAGTATCCACTTATTGATCATTGTCAAAATAAAGACATTTATTCTTTCTAACTTGGATCATTTTTTATAAGCTTTAAGTATTATTTATTCTACTAGAAACATTTTAAAAAATCAATTACATTTTTTTTAAAATACAGTTTGAAAAATTATTCCTAATTTTCGCAGTAGGTACAACTTTGATAAATATTCAGGGCATTAATGTTAAGTAAAATAAATGTAAAGACATTTAGACGCTTCATATGTTAACTCTTCCTAACTTAAATCATTTTTTATAAGCTTTAAGTATTATTTATTCTACTACAAACATTTTAAAAAATTATTCCTAATTTTCACAGTAGATATAACTTTGATAAATATTCAGGGCATTAATGTTAAGTAAAATAAATGTAAAGACATTTAAACGCTTCATATGTTAATTCTTTCTAACTTAAATCATTTTTTATAAGCTTGAAGTATTATTTATTCTACTAGAAACATTTAAAAAATTCAATTAAATTTTTTTAAAAAATACAGTGTGAAAAATTTTTCCTAATTTTCACAGCACGTACAACTTTGATAAATATTCAGGGCATTAATGTTAAGTAAAATAAATGTAAAGACATTTAGATACGTCATATGTTAATTCTTCCTAACTTAGATCATTTTTTATAAGCTTGAAGTATTATTTATTCTACTACAAACATTTTAAAAAATCAATTCCATTTTTTTTTTAAATACAGTTTGAAAAATTATTCCTAATTTTCACAGTAGATATAACTTTGATAAATATTCAGGGCATTAATGTTAAGTAAAATAAATGTAAAGACATTTAGATACTTCATATGTTAATTCTTTCTAACTTGGATCATATTTTATAAGCTTGAAGTATTATTTATTCTACTAGAAACATTTAAAAAATTCAATTAGATTTTTTTAAAAAATACAGTGTGAAAAATTATTCCTAATTTTCACAGTAGGTACAACTTTGATAAATATTCAGAGCATTAATGTTAAATAAAATAAATGTAAAGACATTTAGATACTTCATATGTTAATTCTTTCTAACTTAAATCATTTTTTATAAGCTTGAAGTATTGTTTATTCTACTAGAAACATTTTAAAAAATCAGTTACATTTTTTTAAAAAATACAGTTTGAAAAATTATTCCTAATTTTCACAGTAGGTACAACTTTGATAAATATTCAGGGCATTAATATTAAGTAAAATAAATTTAAAGACATTTAGACGCTTCATATGTTAATTCTTTCTAACTTAAATCATTTTTTATAAGCTTGGAATTATTTATTTTACTACAAACATTTGAAAAAATCAATTACATTATTTTTAAAAATAGAGTTCGAAAAATAAGTGTAATTCTCACAGTAGGTACAACTTTGATAAATATTCAGGGCATTAATGTTCAAAGTAATTAGTCTCAACTGCAAGTCAAATCTTTTAATAGCGGAAGGAGAATATTAATATTATTTAGATAGCATCTATTTGCATATCTGTCTAAATATACACTCTGTTAAACTAATATATCTATTTTTATGTATATGAAACACCGTTCCAATAGAGGATCCCTCGAGTATTTCTGATAAACTATACGTATATGGCTCCTAATCGCGATAAAGTTGGCCACCACTGGCACACACTTTTATTCATGCATTGCACAATGTGCCCGATTCGGGAACCCAATGAATACAATTCCCCTCGAGTTTGTCGAGGAAATTTTACGGGATTTGTGCGCATTTTCTTATGGAGCCATCTACAAGTAGCTGTACAAAGTTAGCCAATTTATTCATTCTATCACTACAAAGACTTGCACGCATAAATAAAGACCAACACTTGTCAGTTTCATAAGCAAACATTTATTTCTATAAATATTGTAACATTCAGTTCTTTCAAAAGAATTTGCCTGAAACAAAATAATACAAAAAATTTCTTAGAAATAAATGCTCGTTTACGAGGCTGCAAAGTGTCGATCTTTGACTATCGTTTAACCAAACTATTCGTTAATTTATACAGTTATTGAATAATCAATAATTTCTTGCTGGAATGGAAAATACAATTCACGCAACAGAGGATTATCTACCTCGCGTTGGGGGGGAGGGAGCAGCAAAGTGGAAATGATCGTCGAGTAACGCAAGATGCAAGATTTAAAACGATCGATATTCCGCCGGTCTGTTTCACGAATGCAAGTATTATAACGTTGGCTATCGTGGCCCGACACTTTACGCTGTCGCGTTAATTTTTCACGCGCGCTCAAACTTTGTTTGCGCAACTGTAAGTTTTCTATCAACAGTTCGGCCCTTGCCTTTTACCAGGCCAGGGCGTCGTACCTTCTCGCGATTACTTTACATTTTAAGAGCTTACGCGGGTCATTGCACCAACATTATCGATCAGACCTTCGCGATTCCTGAGTTTAATTCCTTTGCCTGTGAAACGCGCCACTACGCCACTACTTAGATCGTTCGCGATGCTCGAGGTTCAAGAATTGTCGGTCACTCGAACGCTGGAAGATTTCAACTCGTGCCAAGATCGAGTAACTCAATTTTACACTCTAACGACAGCATTTACCACTATGGGACCAGAGAAATTGATTCTCAAATTTAGATACCGAGGGAAATAAATTTGAATAGGACCAAACAAATTTTAAGTTATGGTTGCTTGCAATGATATGAAATAAAAATATTATTCAGTTTCTAATTCGCGCCTCGTTGTTTCCCTTTTAAAAATATGTTGAAATGCTCCGTTTGTGAAATTATGAAACAAATCCAATTTTCTTTTTCGTGAGAATATACGGATTACGTATTAGCTGTCAAACAATCATCTGCTTTTAAGATTTAAATTGAAATTGCGTTTCCTACCTAATATTTCTTTTGCATTTAGTTAGAACCATAAACTGTTGCTCCACACATCAAATGGATTTATCAAACAAAATATTTGATTAAACATCCGTAAGTGAATTTGAGTACCACTGAATAATAATTATATAGTAGTAATATGTACATCGTTTGAATTTAGTTAAAAGCACAAATTGTTGATCCAAAAATTATTTTTTGGATACTTATTCCTCCTACTAAACAATAGTCTTTGTTATTTATTATTGTTCTCTTAACTTTCATCCAATGAATTCTCTACTATTTCAATTATTCCGACTCCCAGGTGTACATGTTTTCAGGTTAACGACAAGTTTTCCTTTTATACACCATTTTATGTCTCTTGCTAAACAGAACTAGTTTGCACTGGAATCTCTCGGTCTATTTTTAAGAATATGAGTTGTAGTTTATGTTTACTTCTTTTCTCCCATAAAAATTTTGTCGTAAAAGAAGTTATAAAACAATGCTCCATATTTCTACACACCTATCGTCCTTGCACGAATTAAATTTCTCCCCGTCAAACACGTAATTTTTTTATACAAAACTTCACCGTGTACAAATATTACATTCCGTTGTTAAGTGGGACCAAAAGCAAAGATTGGTTCGGAACGTTCGATCGCAGAACGCTTCGTACGTTTCCGTTTAACAGTTTTACACTTGCACGCAAAGTGGAGTCACAAGCCGCGCGAACGGTCGGGAATCCGCGCAGGGAACGGTCAGTACGACCAACAGAAACTTCTCCGTTACGAAAACTCGTACAGTTAGAAAATGGAAGGAACGAGAGGCGCACAGTCGTTTGAACGTTAACAGAAAGTCGCGCGTGAATATTACCGGGGGGCATCCATGGAGCAGAACGACGTTTATTTTAGACGATCCTAAGTGTACACGGACGCATAACAGTACTTCAGGTAGGCGATCAGGTGTGCGGAACGGTTTGGCAAGACGGCCTCCCCACCTGTCACGAATTCGACGCTACCGAGTACATCGTTCGCGTTGATATTTGAACGTCGACGTAACGTGGATTACGCGCCACGGGGGATTAACGACGATCGAGGAGCACGGTCACGACGATCGATATTTTTGTATCGATAGGCGGTAACGCTTAATATTTCGAGGATCGCGGCGAACCACGGATCCCTGGATCGCGAGGCCCGCGGCGAACGTAGCAAAAAGGTGCACGAAGCGAGAACGACGCACGAATGGCGAACATGCCCGGGGCCTTACTCACCTGCCACGACGTATCGCGCCCGCATTTTCGTCGACCGGTCTGTGGAGATCTGCAGTCGAACTCTCGAGGACACCCGCACACGCACGGCGTCTCTTCTTGCACGTTCACTCGCGTGGCATCCTCGGTCACCGCATTTGCCCCCGTTTCTGTGTTCCTTTACGCACGAACAGGAAAAAAAAAAACGCACGCTTTTCCTTTCCACGCACTGCAGAACGGCTGTGGTACGGGTCGCTCGTTCAACGCCACAAATCCACCCGCGCTATTGCAACCGTCGATAAACACACACCGAACGAGACTGGCGGCTCTTCTGGAGAACGTCGCCCCGCTATTGTGGTGTCTCCCCCCACCGACTCCAGGCACCATCGCTCCGTCGCGACGCTGCCCGTGCTACGGCCCTGTCTCGTTACCAACACCGGCTGGATCGCTCCTATGCCTATCTTTCTCTCGATCGCGGTGCCAGGTGCGGATCAACGAGATCGTACACCAGGTATTCCGAATCGTACCTGCCCGGTTTTCAAATAACATTGCTCGAACTATTGCTTCAAGAAAAAAAAATGAATTTCAAGTAACAAAAACTAAGAATTAAGAACGCAATGGAAGAGCTAAACAGATCAAAAGACATTGAACAGAAGAAGAAATTATTTTATTTTATTCAGTATTGACACAAGCGATTTTAAAGAATTTCAAGTTACAAAAACTAAGAATCAAGAAGGCAATGGAAGAGCTAAACAGATCAAAAGACATCGAACAGAAGAAAAAATTATTTTATCATTTTATTCAGTTTTGATGAAAGCAACTTTGACAAAAGTAAATTAGGAATTTTAATTTCTAGTTCTAATCGAAAAAGAAGTTGAAAATACAAATACTAAAATCTAAGAGAGAAAGAGGACAAGAAAATCTTAAAAAGATTTAAATTTAAAAAGATTTAAAAAAAAACTAATACCATAAAATTGTAGTGAAAAGTTTTTTATATTTAATTATTTGTTTTGAATATTTTCAATTGCAAGTTAAAAAAGATCGGAAACTGGATCCGTAGCAGTATTTATTTTGCTCGTGTAGTTTTACTTTGATATATAAACAAGTGAGATATCACGAATAAAGGTCCGTACAGGAAACGATATATAGAAATAGTTGTTTTCGATAGTTATTGAATCACAGATACAAATGATTGTATATTGAATCGTATGTTATATAACGCTTTCATCCATCACTGTCGTTGAATAATGGCTACAGGTGTTGATTGGTTATATAACAGATTTTTACTAATTTTATGTTACCTATTTTATTTCTGTAGTTCTGTTTTAATTCGCCGGCTGTTATCGGATATAACAGAGGGGATGTATTGCTATCGATCAAATCTTGCTCCCGCCCCACGGTGTTTTGTATTTCTCGATGCTTTTCTTTTCGTAATTTATTTAATGTCTCATCAGCTTAAAATCCATTAGCGACCGCTGGAAGTTACATATGTAACAATCAATATGAATAAATATTTGCGCTCAATATTTATACTTACTTCTTTTAATTACATTTCTATAAATTTTTTTATTTTTTATGTACACAGATTTTCTTTATCATGTACGTTTATGTGTGTTGTCCATTCTTCTCTCAGTATTTAAAAGAACAACAGTAGTTTATTAGAAAATAATAATATTTATACAGTGAATTCTATGCGTAAGGTATTAATACATTTTCCAGGGAATCGATTTTAAAAATTAATTGCGTATGGGTACAATAGAGTACGATTTGCATAAGTAGAAACAGTGGGTAATGGACAGACATATTAAAGCATTTCAATTATCTAAAAAATGAAGCGTCAAACGAAAAAATTTTAAAACATACCCTTCTTAATTGTATCATTAATACTGGGACACTCTGTGTGTATCATTACATTAATAACAAAAATTGAAAAATGAATTTTAGAATAAAAAAGTATGCTCGCATATACACAAATTTCTGATCTTAACATTTCTTAAGCTGGGAAAGTTTTATGGCAACGTTATTAGCTTTTTCAAAATACAATTGCATTGTTCTATTTTCGAAATAGCTTCGAATATAACGAAATACCTTTAAAACAAACAATTATTTCTTATTTTTATTAAAAATAAAACTCAGGTAGTTTCGAATACCGATTGTGCTCGGGAATCTCGTGTCGAGAATTCTCGGGATTTTTCATCCATTCTCATTTCTCGAGAAAACAATTTTCATATATTTTGAAATTAGCAATTTCCATAGAAAATCGTTGGATATCTCAAGAATTTCAGAAAACATTATACTTTATAATATGATGGTCTCATGTTTGTTTCGAGTTAAACAATACATGTTTTCATCCCTTAAGTTTGTGTCCTCTTTAAATTTCACAAATGTCATCTAAAGTAACAATCAGTTTTCTAATAAAATAAACAAAAAAAAAATATTAATAATATATTTTCCCATCACAGGAGAATAATAAAATATTGTAACACTGTGTGCATTTATACGGCATTGTTTAGGTAAAATTATATGTATTATAAACTAAATCTCGTGTAGCTGTGTGATTCTAATTTATTAAATGTAAATATAATGTTTTAATAACTATGAAAACAACGAAAATAAAAAAAAAAAATCCCTCTTCCGTGACAATGTGTCGAACATTGCCGTGACCAGGATTCGAACCTGGGTTACTACGGCCACAACGTAGGGTCCTAACCACTAGACGATCACGGCTATTAGAGGAATTATGAAACGTATTCTTCTTTTTATTTTTCAACAAAATATAAGATTGTAATTTTTTATGACCTTTTAAATACGTCATAGTACTAATTATTTGATACGTATATTTATTGTATTATTATGTGAGAGATATTTTATAATAACAAGCAATGCAATATGTGTACTGCGATAAATGATAAACGATTTTAGCGATCATACTGCCCTCTGTTGTTATTAACAGTTGTTTTGTTTTACCGACAGATTTTTAAATTTCTTATCAATTCTACGTAATCCTATTCTGTCACTTGCAACATTTAAAAAGCTGTTATAATAACTACTCGATTAAATTAATTACTTCCTTCTTCATAAATTTCACAACTTTTTAAATTCGGTTATGTAATCAGTTTATGATAACACTTCGTTAATAACTTTTGAAATATTTAAATACAAAATCTACTAAGCTTTTAATTGGATTTTATGATATGTAATATAAGCAAATTCAGTTATCTACGCGAGTGACAGGCAATAAACAAGATAATTCATTACGACATACAGAATACACGTAATCATAAATAGAATAGATAGCAATTAATTACGGTTTAATTAATAACGACTATCTTATTCAGTTATTCATTTTCATGTTCCACCCTTCTAATTTCTTTACGTTTCCGGTTCCGGTCTCCCAGTTTCTCTTTGACAAGCTACTTTATTTATAGAGTTTGGCAGGTCAAACTATTCTGTGTGTAGAAAACAAAAATCAGTGTGTTGCGATAGAAACCGTGAAGTGTAACAGTTACATACTATTTAGGTGCAATAAAAAGGGAAATTATTTAAGGATAATTCGAAAGTGAAATTTCTCGCTTTTATTATCTGGCATTCGCGTCATGGTTGCTATGAAAATGTCAGCTCAGTGGTGATTCATTCGTTCATTAGTTGGCTTTTCATCTGTTTTTTAGTACTGCATTCTGCTCGACGAGCAGGTAAGTATATATGCATTCGTTGATTGTTGATAAATTTAGATTATTAATAATGGCTATGGTTAATAATGTTCATTTATACACTTTATTTGTATACGTATCCAACGAATTAATGAAGGTTAAGTAGGTTAGGAAGGTGAATAAATACTCTTGTCGCCGGGTTGTTGCATGTACGAATTTTAAAATGTACAATAAACGCTTGGAAATTTTAAAACTACGTTAAATTTTAAAAAGCATCATTGATTTATTTGTTATTTTATTACTTAAGTTTTAAATTGATACAAATTTTAACAATAATATGTTGAAAATGCCTTTACTGTAATGCCATCTTAATATATTCTGTGTTCTTAATCAATGTATAACAATCATAACAAGTTTTGCTTAAAGTTTTTCAAAACAGCTGTGTTTAGATTTTTTTACGTGTAATTTTGTGATTTTATGGCCCAAAATACCGCCGGTAATCGTGTTGTGTGCACATTGAATATATTTTGTATCCAGGATGATGGAGGAACCATTGAGTCAAGCTGCATCACCATCCGGCGATAGTAATTTTTCTGGAAGTGGAGAAATAAATTCAACCACTATATTGAGTTTAGACGAAAGAACATTAGACATTAATGCACGGCATGCTTTGAATGCATTTAGAACACCGCCGACTAAAAAAGCAAAGAGAGTGAGATTTTTTAGAAATGGAGATAAATTTTATACTGGTATCGTGATGGCTGTGACTCCAGAAAAGTATCGGAGTTTTGATAGTCTAGCCTCGGATTTAACAAGAGCTTTAATATCAAGCGTCACTTTACCGAATGGCGTTAGGGCAATTTATACTATGGATGGAAGGAAAGTTCAAAGTATCGATGATTTAGAAGATGGTAAATGGTATGTAGTTTCCGGGCAAGGAGAGATTTTTAAAAAGGTGGAATATTCATCTATGAAAGTAAGAAGAGGCAGTTCCCTGTCCGGTTTACCACAATCTCCAGCTGGTACAGGTAGACAAATAAGCGCAATACCATTGTGCGTAAAAGCAAGAATAATTACTTTAATTCGACACGGTACAAAACCACGCAAAGTTGTGCAGCTTTTACTGAACAAGAGAAATGCTCCGAGTTACGAACATGCTATGGAGGCAATTACAGAAGCAGTAAAATTAGATTCCGGAGCAGTGAGAAAAGTGTTTACGCTCTCAGGGCAACAAATTAACTCTTTGGAGCAATTCTTTGGAAGCGATGATATATTTCTGGCCTATGGCCCTGAAAAATCAAATCAAGAAGATTTTGAGTTAGACTTTGAAGAGTCTAAGATCATTCAAAGCTTTCGAAGATGCCCGTGGTCGTCGAAAAGACAAAGTGGTCCAATGCCTAGAATGCCAAACAAATTTGGAAAAAAGACGCTTAATACGCCACAAGTGCGCACACCAAGTTCTTCTTCATTGATATTGCCGCAACCATTACGTTTACACTACACGGTTGGCCATGAAATCGGAAATGGAAATTTTGCAGTTGTTAGGCATTGTATTCATAAGTAAGTACTTAATTTACATTACTTTTACCGATAATATCACGACATTTATTAACTTCAAATTAAATCTTTTTTCTGTCTACAATATGAGATTGGCAAAATTCTCATCTACATAACGAATAGCGAAGAAAAGATAAATAAATTTTGATTCGTTTTGTCGAGTACAAATTATAATCTGAATTTTACAGTTAAATTGTGTTTCGCAAAGTTTTTATTTATTATCTATTATTTGAATGAAATTCTGTCTAACTCTGATATTTATACAATTCGTCTCACGCGGAGGACGCCAGAGACTTTACAAGGAAGTGCTTTTTAGATCAACAGGTGCAGAGTATGCAATGAAAATTGTGACTAAGTACAAATATAAGGGTAAAAAGGCAATACTGGTTAACGAAGTAGCGATTTTACGAGAACTTTGTCACCCGAATATTATTAGTTTAATCGCCGAACAAGACACTCCCGACCAATTGTTTTTAGTCCTGGAGCTCGTGAAGGTACATCCCCACAACGAAACTGTTTAATTTAACTACTAGAAGTTTTATTTAAATAATAGAATATTATGTGTGTGGATTACCTTAGGGGGGAGATTTATTCGATGCAATTACTGCTGCAACAAAATTCTCAGAGGCGGATGCTAGTTTGATGATACGACATTTAACGTCCGCATTAGCTTATTTGCATTCGCTTAACATAGTTCACCGTGACGTTAAACCCGAGAATCTTTTAGTGGAGATGGATGGAAGCCATGTTAGATGTTTAAAACTAGGCGACTTTGGACTTGCTCAAGTCGTAAGGAAACCTTTATACGTGGTTTGTGGTACACCCACGTATGTTGCACCAGAAATTCTAGCAGAGACTGGATATGGGTTGAAGGTATATTAATTATCAAAAAGTATTTTCCTAAGCATGGAGGTGGACACTTATCTACCTGTTGCGTATTCTCGTATCGTATTCCCGCCACGTATCAAAATTTGGTACAAAAATGGAATCGACACTCTTTTGTATAATTAAGGATCTACATGGTATTCGGTTCAGCTAATGAAAATGATAGAATAGCAAAATAAATGTATTCCTTTCTTTGGAGCATATAATGAATCAAATCGTATGAGATGACTGCTATTGTAGACAGTCGCAGAAGGAATTGATGACACTCTGGGTTTTCACATTTCTGTAGATCGTATCTTCCGTTTCGATATGGATTATGTAGCGACGTAATAGGAAAATTGCACCGTATCGTATCACTGAATAATACGCAACGGCGATACGATATGAAGATACATAACAAGCCGATATGTCAAAAGGCGAAATAAAAAAAATTTTTTCAGATCGACGTATGGGCAGCTGGCGTAATATTGTATATCTTGCTTTGCGGTTTTCCGCCGTTCGTTTCGCTCGATCACAGCCAAGAAGAATTATTTGAACGTATTTTAAGCGGTCAGTACATATTCACATCTCCGTATTGGGATAACATATCAGATTCTGCCAAAGAGTTGATCTCAAACATGCTGCAAACGCAACCTGACTTAAGGTTCAGCGCGGAGGATGTGCTTGACCATCCGTGGCTAGCGGTAACTGTCATTAATTATTAGTTTCTTATAGAAACCCCACTTCTGTTCCTTTGCATGGCTTACCTTTTCACTGAGAGTAACACAAAATATTATCTTTGCAGTAGGTATGGTGGATCTGTTCTTTTCTTTTTTTTTTTATTATTTATTTCATCATAGATATTCAATTTTGATTAGGTATATTTTTTTATTAATTTGCTCATTAGTTCTCTACAATTGTTTATTATGAATTAGTATAGAATCAAATGCTTACTAGGAGTGTGGTCGGTAGTTTGAAATTCGGGTGAAAATCGTCAAGAAATCGGCTAGTTCAGAGCAGAACCCGGTATTTGTTCGAACTTGCGTTTCAAGCTACCTGTCCACCCCTAATGCTTACCTGTTAAACAGCTTTATCCTTGGCTATTTGAACACGGTGCTAGGCAGGCTTTAGTAGTGGTTTGCTGTATCTGTAGCAGTGCTTTTTTTTTTCTTTTGTTCCGCCTCTGTATATCAGCAGAGCTTTCTAGGAGGCGAGCAGACCACAGCAACAACATCTACCTACCCATCGGAGCAACACTGGGATCAGCAGTGTAAGCCGATAAGATTGGCGACTTTCGAGTTTGATTACAAGAATCAAATACGATGTGACAGTCCGCGAGACGAAATTGACGGTACACCTGACAACAGAACGAATATCAGGAGCAAGTGGAGCGAAGTTTTGTTGTCGTTAGAACCAGGAAATATTGACATACTTCATAATATCGATCAGGAACAAGAAAATTTGAGTCAGGACGAAACTGTTTTTAATAACGGGAATCCTAGCGACGAGGAACCTGCGTCTTTTAGTGCAGATTGTTTACAAGATATACATACCCTTAGTCAGTCTATGCACAATCTTATAAACAATTTAAACGAGAAACAGCTACACGAGTATCGTTCAAATTCGTCGAGTAGTGAGTCTTCGTTTACGAACAGTGTTCCTAAGAATTCAATATTGTTAAGTAGGTATCAAAATGCTGCTTCGATCGAAACCGATATAACTTGTGACAGCAATCAAGTTGATGAAAATATGTCCCATCACAATAAACGAAATTCCAGCGAGATCAATTCTACGCCTATTGTGTCAGACATGTCAACCAATAGCAATGTACATGGTTTTGAAACACCTAGATCCACTAATTCAAGGGTAAATAAAGAAAGATACAGGCGGAAACATCTTTACGACAATTTAATATTTTCTGAGCAGATTTCTTCCAAATTAGCGAGCGACGACATGAAAAATTGTAATGTGCTTTTGTCGTCAACCGACAGCTTAACCGGTAGTTCTAGCAACGACATCCAGACATCGGATAGCTTCGTGAATATTCAATTTGCACAATTAACACTGGATCAAAGATCGAATTCGACTCAAAGTATGGAGTCGACCGACAGCTTTGAGAATATTCGCTTTTCTTATAACCAAGAACCAAAGACTGATAATTTTAAACGAAATTCTGCAAAAAATTCTCCGTTGATAAATCAGGAAAAGTCGGCGACAAAGATATTGCAAACGCCAACGACGTTGAACGTAAACGCTTCGAAACCTTCGAAATCGAACAACTTGCCGAATAACAAGAAAAATTCATTGAAAACGCCGGATGAATCTAAATGCACGAAGAACGAGGTAGTAAAACTTAGACGTGAAAAGTGTACACCGAAGCACGATACAGATTCGAGGATACCGACGAAGAATAAAAGGTTCAGTTGCTTTTTACCATCTTCTGCGAAAAAGGTTTCCGAGTCTGTTATAGTTAGTGACAAAGTGATTTCTGTTAATACCAGAATAGGTCGGAAGTTTAGTTCCACCGACGAATTACGCGAGGAGAAACAAAAGCAAAGCGTGAAATCGAAAAGATTCAGTTTGTATTATACCCCGCAACCGTTGCGAAAATATTACGAGGGCGATACGAAGGCTGGGAAAAATACGTGCAAAAGTGTGTCAACGAATCGTAATGACCGGCAAAGCAATGGAAGAACACCGGACGTAAACAGAAAGAAAGACGACGTATCGGAGCCCGATGACAAGGACATCGTGAAAAGTCGGAGGTCAGTTGTAGAATGTACAACAGCTGCCGCGAGAAGTAAATTTAGCAAGCAGAGTGTTCATGTCAGGTCCAGTATTGTAAATCCAACTGTAATGACCAGTAGAACAAAATGATCGTAATTAGTTATATTTATACATTGAGAAGTAACTATCGACGCGGAACAGATCCGCCGACAGAGTCCAAAGTTGTAATAATTATTTTAATGTAAGCGCAAAAGTCGATTTAACCAAGGACGCGATGCCATTTGTTTTTAGACTTTGAATACATCGATGTAAATCGATCATTCGGATTAGAACATGTGGGCTTCGCACGTAAACGAGACATGCCAAATGCATTTAAGTAGTTTATTCTATATTTGATATCTATATTTGATTGTTGTACGTAGTACAAGTATCAGACTAAACTAGGTAACAAAAAAAAAAAAAAAATACTGCGCTTCGTTTTCAACCGGACGTAAGCAAATAGCGAAGTACCGATTGTAGCCGAACAAAAAAAAACTGTATTTGACGATGCACAATTCCTTGTGGCAAGTGACAGAGGGCGACAGCGCGAACAATTATGCGTAATATTTGCGTAGCTTGTTGCATACACTTGCTCAAAAGTAATTCGACTAATATTAGAGTAAATATTTTTGTAAAATATTGTACGTGGATGTTATGAGAGCAATACAAGCAGACTGGTGATAATTAGATCAAGGAACCTTAGGGAACGTAAAGTTGAATATCGGGACAAGGAAAGAATTGATTCAATAATGTATGATGCTTCTCGTATGAGATTATTTTTGTAGAAATTACGTATCGTACATAATACTTACATAGGCGTCTTTCTCCCTTTGTCGCTTGAAATGTACTTTTGAGGTTATGCCCCCCTCCCCCCCTCGCTACAATTTCCATATTTTTTAATGCAATCATTAATATTTACTATTTACTATAATGATGTATATATATATAACGAGTAAGAGATTCATACAAAGTTGTTTAAGTATTATCATTGCTATTCGTTTTTGTAATTTGTAACCCGCGTGCGAAAATGTACTTTATCGCAAAATTTCGTACTAGAATGAATTCGTTTCTAATGAAGGTTAAGATTTTTATGGTAAGCATAATTACTTCGCAAACGCGTGTACGGCATTATCGTAGTTTATAGAAATTTTAAAGTGATTTACGCCAAATATTGAAATCGACTATTTATATTATTATGTGTATATGTATTTACTACACGAAATTCCCAATCATCTTCGATGCTATTTTATTTGCCTTTATTTATTTTTTTTTTTCTTTTCTAATTAAATTTGGTGTAATCATGTTGATACGTACGCGTACACTTTCCAGTTGGCTGTAAATTATCTGTAATCATTAAATTTCTTTCAAAATATTGATTAAAAGACAAATACGGCAATAACTGTTGGCGATGTCTTGATTTATAATTTCCCTCAACAACCATTTTTTAACGTTTGTTTACAAATTTTACCCTTGCTAATGTGTGAAGTTTTTTTTATTATTATTCTGTATTTTTTTTTAATCGTTCGGTTGTATATTTATTTATTATTGTTTTGACACGATATTGTCTATTAGGCAAAAACGAACGAAACATTTGCATTGTGGGATCGGGAAGATAATGACTCCGCTCTGTTCCGTTCCGCACAATTGTATTGTTGCTGTCGTACAACGACGTGACTCGTGGTGCGGGTTACGCTCGACTCTCTGGTACGATCATCACCACCGTACCAAGAGGCCTTCAAAAACAAAAGACGGTCAGAGACGACGACAACGGCTTTTCGGCTCACGCGGCTCTGGTCGTCTCGTGTGCAACCATACATTGTAGCGGCTTCGAACGGCTAAGGCGTATGTGGTGCCTTGGCCGCCACAGCATAATCACAATTTCCAATAATATCGTTTTATTAAAATTTCATTTGAAATATTGATAAAAAAATAACGATCTAGTTACTTTGAATATTTTTTATTTATCTTGGTATAATTATTTCTTAACGTTCGGATAGTGGAACGATAAAAAATGGTCGACAATGGGAGCATCCGATCAGATTTAGAGGAGCTTACAGACGTAAGTATAGTCGAGAAGATTTTAACAAACACAAATGTTCGTTATTGCTTCTTATAATTAAACAAAAAGAAATAAAGAACTGTAAATAAATAAAATTATTTTTTTAAATGAAATTACGTAATTGTATTGCAAGAACATTACAACCGTGAGATGAGAAAGCATATTATCTGAAATACTGCAAGTAATGTCGTTTCTTAAGTGCTCAGCTCAGTCGTTAACGAGCCAGATGAATCGTGAAATTGACGGAACGGTAAATTTGCAAAGATTTCACACTGCTAACAGTGAGTAGGTCGTGTCGGATGTGTGTGCTCATACGGTACATAGTTATATCTACAACATTACAGCAATATGCATGTGCAATGCTGCATTATTTAAAATATTATGTAAACATTCCAACAATATTAAAATAATATCTATGTGCAATATCGAAAATGTTTTAACAAAATTTCAGCGATATCATAACAATATATTTGCTTTATTGCCTCCAAAATATTTCACCAATATTACAAAGCAATTATGATTTTGAAATATATATTAATAACATATATTTAGGCACGAGTAAAAACCAATTCAAAAAGTATTCGAATTACGCAGCCTTACTAATATTTGTATTTTGTTTATAGTCGTTCAAAAATATAAAATGTCTTGCTGAAGTTCATCCTCAGATTAGCGATTATGCTCGTTTAAAAGATTTACGAGAAAGATTCAAGGAGAATTTATTCAAATCCACGAATAAAAACCAACCGCGTTAAGCCTGTGTGTTCGAGCCGTTTTTTTGACGGTCACAGAACACCAGGTCTCGGACAAAACACATTAACTTCTTTGTTTCTTTTTCCATCTCACTTTCATCTTGTTTTTCCAACCGTTCATAGCGTTGTATGTGTATACGCACGGAGCAAACGAAGTATTGCTGAAATGTTTCAGAAATGTTGTAAATGGAGAAGAAACGTTGATGAAAATGTAATGTTTTCGAAGTGCTTGTCGAAAATGTTCAATATCGAGCAATGTTTCAAAAATGTTTCGGCAATGTTTGCGTGTTGTGCGAGCAAAGGGCGAATTGGTTCGAAGGAACGCGTGCTGGCCGGTGGCAGTTGCGCGTCGTGAGCGCGACAACGAGTTCGTGAGCTCAGTAGTAGGCTCGCGCGCCTACCGTGAGGGTGGCTGCACGGCACGCAGCCTAGCAGCTCGCCTATTTTCGCGCTTTCCTTCAACATCATTCTCGCTCGCTCCTTTCCTTTAATACGAACCGTTCTTGGCACAAGCTGCCGCGTTCACTCGACGGACAAAGTGTCTTATCAAATTGAAAACAATACATATCGTAATAGGTGCGGGTGTGCATACGCGAGCTTGTGTGTGTGTGTGTGCGTGCGTGCAGGGAAATTGACACATATCAATTGTAACTGTCAACACGAGGACCAGCGCGTGATGCAAATTCGATAGTCGCTGCTTTGATCAGGTAAGACGAATTAATTTTCGAAGTTTCTTAAATCGTTATTTATCACAGAGAATTTTAGTCGATCCTTTCTTTTCTATATTGTTATTTGAATATAGTGTAACGATTATAAGAGAAAGGTTATGTTGTTTTTGTCATAAGAATATAATGTAATTAAGAACTTTTTGAATTTGGTGACGAATTAAAATTTTTAATAAGAATTACTAGTCCATAGGGTTATAAGCTGATCAGTGACGATTTGACTGGTTTTCAACAGATTGAAATTCAATTTTAATGCTCGTTTATGAATATAATCCTGTGATGTGTTAATCGTATTACGATTAACGAGAATCGGAACATGTGCTTAGCTATAATTTGTAATTTTTCGTTTGACATTATTATTTGACCATATTTAACGAGAAACTATTTGTTTTGTGTTAGGGAATATTTGCTGTCTTAAAAACACAGTTATGATTCGATTAATATTAGTGGTTAGTGATTACGGTATGAAATCTATCCTGAGAAAGAGTGTGAAGTTATCTGACCAACTGAATATTTAGAAACATAATCGCATACGTGAGGGTTAAGTTTCTTACAAGAATACGTAAAGTTAGATTTTATATTTTTTCTGTTCCTCGCGAAATTAATTATCGCAAACGTATTTATACAGAACATGTTAAAATATTCTTGCTAAATCTCAGGAGCATGTGGTATTCATAATAAGGAAACTTGGCTCGATAAATATTGGTCTTTCCAAGGTGGATATTTGTTTAGTAGATTATTCGAAGAATGTGGTGTACCAATTGAAATGTTAGAAGAGTTAAAATAGTAAGTTAAAAATTATTTTTATAAAATAAATAGAATATAATTTAATCAATTTTTTTACAAAGCGTTTTTGGTTAGTTTTGCGTATTGCTTTCTAGTATATTTTCAAAGTTAATGAAAACATATATGTATACAGAGAAATTTTTTATTTTGCACATTTCAATATTTTCGTTATTTTTGCTGATACAAGAAAATGTATCAGGACAAATCTATTCGAAGCTAAGAATATTACGATTTTGATTTTTTTCTCAAGGTCATCCGTTCCAAGTTTTGAAGGTCATTGCTATTTTTTCACGCTGCTATAAAAATAAATGTACAGGGTGTTCAACCAGCCTAGGGAAAAATTTTAATGGGTGATTTTAGAGGCCAAAATAAGACGAAAATCAAGAATACCAATTTGTTGATGGAGGCTTCGTTAAAAAGTTATTAACAATTAAATTCAAAAATTTCAAATCGGTCTGGAAAAATTATTTTTCGTTACGGGGGGCAATTACAATCATTTTTGGTGAATAGACATACCCCCGAAATCCTACCCACTTTCTAGAAAAAAATTCGAGAAGGTGTGAAATTTTTTGATGGAAAAGAAAAATTTCAAATCGTTTTGGAAAAATTATTTTCGGTTACAGGGGTCAATTATAACCATGTTTGGTGAATAGACATATCTCCGAAATCCTACCCACTTCTTAGAAAAAAATTCGAGAAGGTGTGAAATTTTTTGTTGGAAAAGAAAAATTTCAAATCGCTTTGGAAAAATTATATTCGGTTGCGGGGGTTAATCACAATTACTTTTTGTGAGTAGACATACCCCCGAAATCCTACCAACTTTCGAGAAGGTGTGAAATTTTTGGATGGAAAAGAAAAATTTCAAATCGTTTTGGAAAAATTATATTCGGTTGCGGGGGTCAATTACAATTACTTTTTGTGAGTAGACATACCCCCGAAATCCTACCCACTTTCGAGAAAAAAATTCGAGAAGATGTGAAATTTTTCGATGGGAAAGAAAAATTTCAAATCGTTTTGGGAAAATTATTTTCGGTTGTGGGGTTCAATTATAATCATTTTTGGTGAATAGACATACCCCCGAAATCTTGCGCATTTTCGAGAAAAAAATTCAGTACAGGCGGAACTTTAAATGTTAATAACTTTTTAACGAAGCCTCCATCAACAAATTGGTATTCTTGATTTTCGACTTATTTTGGCCTCTAGAATCTCCCATTAAAATTTTTCCCAAGGTTGGCCGAGCATCCTGTATAATATACTTTTATAACAGTAATAAAACTGTATTATTTCTGATTATATTTCTCTTGATGAAAACGTTCAATATTTTGTTGTCAATGATGGTGCTATTATCGTTTGAATAAGAAATGAATACTTATGTTTGTAGTTTCTCGCCCGTAGCATTTTATGCGCAAAAATCTGAATAGAACGGAATATTTTAACAATTTAAACGCGATACATCCAGCAAAATGTGTTTTGTCGAGGTGCTCGAAAGAGCGGGGGAGTTCGATCACGAACTGCAACAGGATACTCGTTCCGTGTCGAATCAACTGTTTCGAAGTTTTATAGCACGTAGACTTACGAAATTACCGTCATCGTGCGGAACTTAGCTTTCTTTATAGGCGAGCTGGAAAGTGAGTCTGTGTGCACATTACGTGGCGTTCGCTGACCGAGATATTATCGTCTCGTCCGATATCTTTGTCTTTATTAAACGTCGGAGGCGATCAATTTTACCAAATTTGGCGACTCTTACGCGACGTACGAGTTTTTCGCGTCATCGGCGCCATCGTAACGCGAAAGAATATACGCACGCATTTAAATCTTCACGTTGGAATTCGGTATACAGTACCGTATAAGGTATTTTTCCATGTTTCCACTCGACAACCTCGTCGATGTTTATCTTGCAATTTTTCATCGGG